ATGTATTCGGGGGTTTAAATGGAGAGAAAATGTTTTGAGAATGATGTACAAATGCACTTTACACAATTGATGTGTGTATGGATTGCGATAACAGTTGTATTAGCCCCTAATAAAATGTTTAAAAATAAATAAAAATTAAAAAAAAAGAACACATGTGATCCATTGGTCACTAACTGCCAAAGACCTGTTGAGTTATAGAATGACATCACATATATCTTGCTTGAAGAAAACTTAACATTGTTGAAAAGACAGGGAAAAAATACGAGAGAAAAGAACCTGTCAGAAGAAACTCTAAAACTTGCTCTTGAACATAGAGTAGCTAAAGCAAATAGAAGAAATAATGAAATAAGAGTTGAATAGAAAATATCGAAGGCCAGCCTGAGATGACAAAGTAAAATACTTTAATGAAATGTATAAAGATCTGGAGTTAGGAAGCCAAAACAGAACATCATGATAAGCATTATCTCAAGCTGAAAGAATTTAAAACAAAGCATTGAGTTCTAATTTTGAAGGATTCCTTGGACTGAGCATTTAATGATAGAGGAAATATCATAAGAAGGTAGAGGGAATACACATTCATTGTATTCACTCACCCCCGGCAATATTAACTATTTCAAGTTGTACCATATAATCAAAAGCCAGTGGTGCTGAAAAAAGGAAGAAGTCCACACCGCATGGAAGGCATTAGTGAGAAACAAGGCTCCCAGGCTCCAGGAATTAATGGAACATCAATTGAAATGTTTCAACAAGCTAATGCAGCACTGGAAGCCCTCACTTGTCTATGCAAAGGTTTTTAGAAGGCAGCTACTTAGCCAACTGACTCGCAGCAATCCTTATTTGTACCCATTCCAAAGAAAGGTGATTCAGTAAAAGTCAGAAATTATCAAACTATTATTAATATCACATGCAAGTAAAATTACATTGAAGATAATTCAAAAACAAGTACAGTGGTACATTGTTAAGGCCTGCCAGAAATTCCCACCGGAATCAGAAGAGGACATGCATGTATGATATCATTGCTGATATGACATGGATCTTGGGTAAAAGCAGAGAATACCAGCAAATTGTTTACTTGTGTTTTTTTGACTATGCAAAGCATTTGACTGTGTGGATCATAACAAACTGTGGATAACATTGAGAAGAATGGGAATTCCAGAACACTTCATTGTGCTCAAATGTACATAGCAGTCATTCAAGCAGAACAAAAGAA